ACAATTGAAGTATAAAGTTGTACAAAAACATGGTGAAAATGACATTACCCATCTTCTTTTGCAAGATTTTAGGAATTTATTATATATTAGATTTAATTAGTAAATTAATTATAATAAAAATTTGTGTAATTAGAAATTAATTAAAATGGTGAAAAACTGGTTTGATCAAATCTCTAAAAACTTTAAGGACTAGTTTGCTATTGTCGTGCTTTTTAAAAATTGTTTCTGCTGTACTATAAGAATAAACAGTTATAAAATACAATTTGTTGAGTGTTTTAATTTTTTTTCTTTTTGTAAAGGTGCTTTTTCACAGAAAAAGTGTTTGAGTGCTTGATAAACTTTTATATAAATTGCTGTGAATATATTAAACGACTAAAAATGATATTATAATTGTCAAGGATAATAATGTATGTGTCACATCCCGGCCCGGGCCCCCACCACATCCCGGGCCCGATTCCACCGTAGCACGATATTGTTCGTTTTAGGCCCCTACCACACCCTCATGGTTTTGTTTTTGGGAACTCACTGGTCACGCCTTGATTTCGGTCGGGATGTCTCAGTGTGGGCAATGATTGTAATTTTGTAAAATAGGTGGGGGTATACTTTGACACACCCCGACCTAAAAAGTCAACTTGGACCCTGAATCGAGCTGTGCTGGCCGACACCTGGAAGGTGACGAAGTCATAAAATGTGATAGTGTATAAAAAGTGAATAAATTTGAATCTAAAAGTGTCTAAATACCAGAGTGCGCTACGAGTAGGGGTGGTTCGGTATGGGATACCATACCAAAACTAGTATCTCGAATCCCAAACCAAAATTTTTTGGAACGGGAATTTGAAGACCAATCCCAAACCAAATTTTCGGGAATCCCGAAATATTTTAGGGATTTTGGGACAAATCGGGAATCCCAAATTGAAATATGAAATTATGAATTGTTCTTCAAATATATAATTCAAGAACACATTCATAAACTAGGAATTTCATTTCATTCACACTACCATTTAATTGAACACTGGCATGTCTGACTGTTTTTATCATAGTCAAAATTCAAATTAATTAAACCCTTTTTGCAATCTGTTGAGAGACAAAAGAATCAAGTCTTCTGAAATCATCAGCCATGGCAGCAACAATAATAAAATCCACATGAATATCAAACAGAACATGAAAAATATGCATGGTGTAGGGCATTCCAGGTTGCAGAGCATGAATTAGAAAATACTAGCATCAATTATAAAAGAATAATATATATATATGTATAAATATATATATAATAATTAACATTATATATTTTCGGTTCGGTATAGGATTCCCGAAATATTGAGAAGCCAATCCCGAATCCCATACCGAAATTTTGGGATCGGTTCGGGATAGCATCCCAAAAATTTCGGGAATTTGGGTTTGGGAAATTTTTGGTTTGGGATTGGGATTTTTCGGTTCGGTTCAGGATTTTTGGGAATTTTTTCCACCCCTAGCTACGAGTGGGAGCGAACCCATTTCACACGCAATGTCAGAGCATAAGTAAGGTACAGTAGTGTGGGTAAGAATCATACCCTTAAAAGTAGCCACCAATACTAAGATTAGCTATATATCCTTGTCGATACGAACTCAGCAGTTAAAACTTGAAGGGGTACACAACAGAAAGTGTGAGTAAGCTGTAAAACCAAGTTTCCCAAAACTATTACCTTTCAAACAGTAATAACCCCTCACTGTAATTCCCTTATCGTTTTCTATAGGATAGTACAACATATATACATATATCCAAACCATACTAAAAAATGACCAAAACCACGGCTTGCCATCAACTCCACCATGCATTAATAAGTAGGCCAAATGAACTTAATCAATACAAAATGATATGTCAGTCAGAGTCATCTAAAATGACATGTACAACTTATTCATATCTCATCAATCATGGCTAGCATATAAGTTGGAGTCACCTTTAGTGACCTGTACGACTTATCCATATCTCACCAATCATGGCTAGCCAATAGCTCAATAAGTATACCTGCACACGAGTTGGAACCACCTAAAGTGGTCTGTACGACAAGACTGGGTGTAAATAAATACGATCACGTGAAGACTGTGCGAATAATCGCGGGTTACCTACGAGTCGGAACCACCTAAAGTGGTCTGTACGACAGGACTGTGCACCTACCTTGGATCTAAGGTAAGCGTAAGGTGCGGGAGGTGAACATCATGTGAAGGACTGTGTCCTGGCCACGGGCAGGAGCACTAACACCGGGGTGCAGGTTTATGAGCTCTCAATGCATCTCAATATAACATGTGCAACTCATGGCAACCAGTACGACAGTATCGAAGTTTTCTAACACATAACTGTAGTCATGCTATAACGCAATCGATTCAACTAATACCATAAACTCACCTGAACTTACCTGGGTGTCCTGCGTTCACCTTTGCACTTGAAAGCATTCCCAATAATTATATGCAAGTAATATACATATGGATATACCATGATGCAATCTAATACTCAACCATGTCGCATTTTCAATTATAAACAATACGGTGTGAGGTGTACAATCAATAACGCCCTACTCCCGAACTACATATTTTCAAGGATAATTATCCATGACAACCCAATTAACACTAATTTAACTAACTAATTCACAAAACTAAAACTTGCCTTTACCAATTTCCTTCTCATTACTCAATTTCCCAAGCAAGGCTTTTGTCTCAAATATTTTATGGCTGCATCTAACGTCTCGTTAGACTGCCTACGTACCTTAAACAGAGATCAAGCCATTCGTAGTTCATATAGTACTTCAAGCATTCACAATATTTATATATGAAAGTAATATACCTAATCAATTTAAAAGTGTCGATAGAACTCTCAATAATATGTACGATAAAAAGGAAAAGATGCACTCACCTGGAGTCCACGCTATGATTCTCTAGTGCACGCATCGAGGCGTCCTGAATGATTGGTCTCTGTGACCAATTATCAAATCACATCTCAGAATTCTTATCCGTAGAATACGTAATTCACATAAAACACAACCTCAACGACATTCTAAAATAGTTTGAGACCCATTGACCACATGTCAACAGTCGATCAAAGATCGACGGTAGGGTTTACAACCCTGTATAACTCCACCCGGAAGATTCACATATCAGATTTCCAATCCGTAACCCCCAACAATCCACAATATGTTTCTAGAACAACATATTAAAATTTTATTACGATCCAACGGTCGGATCTCCGCCAATTGCCTAGAACAAGTGGTCGCGAACATTTATTTTACTAACTTACAAATCCAATTCAGGAAGATCCCTAAGTCGGATTCCCGATCCATAAATTCCTATGATCTTTAAATGTTGCGTATTATAATGTATCCAATTTTGGTGACGATCCAACGGTCGGATCGTCGATTCACATTTTTATCAAGTAACGTATGGTAACAAATTTAGGTTCCAACGATCAACCTATGTCATTCAAATAACAAAACTGAATTCAAGACATTCGACATAGCCTAAAAATAGCATTGGCGGCCCACTGGCCATGCGCCGCCGCGGGTGGCGGTCGGCCGCCCCAACTCGCCGGAAAATCCAACTATTTCCAAAAATTCTCAAACTTCACAGAAATGAAGATCTCAGTGAGTGGAGCAACTTTCATACCTGACACGAAGTCCAAAAGTGGACGGACGATGGTCAATTTTGCCCACAAAGCCGACGGGTGCCTAAAACTTCTCGACGTCGATTCGTCGTCTACGGTGGTCCAACGGGGTCAAGGTTGGTTGGGTTTTGGTCCTAGGATGATGGGCTACAAAGCCCAAGTGGTGGCATCAGCCATCGCTTTGCCGATTTGCCGGAAAATCGAAAAGGGTGGCCGGAGCACTATTGATTTTTGTCAACTTTTGTGGCCTCAAACCGCCACATACCATGGTTAATCAAGGTGGTTCTTGGGTGGGTTTTGTAGAGGGGAATGAGAGCTTCAAGATGGTGGTGGTGGCATCGAAAAACTCCACCGGAGTCGGCCAGAATCGACCTTGGAAAATGGTGGTTGCGAGTTGGAAAAACCCACGGGAAAGCTGGGATTTTTTTTTTTCTTTTCTTTTTCTGATTGGGTCTCACCCTCACCCTCTAATTTAATTGGTTCCTTCCTATCATCGATGGTTAATATAATATCTAATTTAACAAGATTTATAGTTGGACCAAAAAAAAAAAAAATATAGACAAGTAGTTCAAGAGATTCCTTATTTGGTGCGGTGCGGCCTGCTGTGGCACAACAAGTTGTAGGATCAACACTTATTAATTCTAATCATTTAATTTAGGGAATTGTTATTAGCACTCCAAAAATCTCATTTTACACTCCTCACAAGTGTATTTTTCTTTCTAATTATAGAAAGTTTGGAGTGCTAAATGAGATTTTTGAAGTGCTAATAACAATTCTCATAATTTATACTAGCATATATGGGCACACACAAAGTGTGTGAGAAATTTTTTTATTTTTGTTTTTGAAATAGAAGGAGAGAGAAAGAGAGTGAAAAAGAATGTAAGGAATGAGAATTTTTTTTATTTTTTATTTTAAATTTAATTAGAGATATGTTAGGATTACATGTAGATGAGTCTTTGAAAAAAAAAAACAAAATTTGGTTGTATGAAATTACATTTCTGCCCCATATTTCTTATTCATTTTCTATTTTAATTAGATAGTTAAACTCATAATTTCATAGAATTTTGATTGATAATAAATGTTTTATTAATTAGTAGAGATGCATAATTAATATTTAATCATTAGTAAAACAGTCTTAGCAAAAAAAAACAAAAAAATTATTAGTAAAACAGTACACACCGTGACTCAAAACCCTCCCCCCTTGGATTTTCCCTTCCCCTCCCTCTCTCCCTCTCTCTCTCTCCCCCCATCCCTCCTCTCCTCTCCATTTTTCTGTGCTTCACTTTGCCTAGAGCTCCCTTCAGTCTTCAATTCTTGTATATTCACATGTAAAAATAATTTAATTTTGTAAATTCTCTCCCCTTCTTTCTCTCTCCTTCTCTCTCATTTATCCGTTCTCTGTTTTTCTTGTTTTCAAATTTTACATATATTCTATCTGGGTTTTCGATATTTCGTGGAGGGGGAAATCGAAATTGGCGGGAACCAACGGCCGAATTCCGTGATTCTGAGAACTGGTTTTGCTCAGATTCGCTATAAAAATTGAAAATTTGTTAATTTTTCTTTGAATTTTGAGCAAAAATTCAAGAATTTTTCATGGCGAACCCATCTGGGAACCACCAAGAACCGAGCCACGCCTCCTCGTCCTTCAACGGCACCAACCCCAGTAATGGAAACTCCACGCCTGTGTCGGTGCCGGAGAGTTCTGGCGCCGCCATGACCATGAAACACAACCCGGGTATTTCTATGGATTGGAGCGCAGAGGAGCAGGCAATTCTCGAAGATGGACTCGCCAAGTAAGTAGTAAATTTGGGGATTTTGCTGTTTTGGTCTCTTTGGGTCCTTGCAGTGTGTATTCAGATGGGAATTTTGAGTTTTCTTTTGAATTTAGATGTATTGTGGCCATTTTTTGGGCGTTTGATTGAATTGGGAAATTGCCTGAATTTTGAGCTTTTCTATTTGGGTTTTTTTTATTTTTTATTATAAGTTCAATTTTTAGTCTTAGAATACTTTTATATTTTGCAATTTTTGTGTGTGACTGTTTGCTTGTAGGAGTTTATAAAATGTTTTATTTTTTATTTTTATAATTCTTTGATAAAATGAGTTTGAATGCTCTAATAGTGAATACTGCTTTATTGTATACAACGTGGCCGGCGGGATTAATATTGTTTACAAATAAATTGTAGTATCTGGTGTGAGATGGTATGGTATATTATTAGTAGTATCATTTGTACTTTTGTGCTTAAACCTGTATGCTGTGTCATTTAATTATGTACTTCTAAATCTTATGCGATATATAAATCATATCAGTATGTGATATCAAGGTTTTGGAATTGTAGGAATTTATGATATGACAGGTATTATGATATTTAATGAAAATTATGGAATGTGAAGCCTTTAAATAGCCTGCAGTATATAGTTTGGAGGAAGATTATTAAAATATAATGCATGTAATGCTGTAGAGTGCCATAAGCAGATTCTAAGTAGCATATAAAGAACTTAACGTGGTCAGTGATGCTAAGTGAATTTATGCAAGGATGTATGGCAGCATACCGGCGAAGATGTTTGGTAATCTTCAGTTCGAGTACTTCAAAGAAATCAAAACAAAGCTTTTGTGCAGTGTCTAGCTGTCAAAGGTTTCTTTTATACTTTCCATTCTGATATACATATAAAATAAGAAATTCTGTTGGAAAGTTTCAGTTAAGTGGCCAAGTAGAAGTTAGGATATCATATGCACATGTCAGATACATACATACGAACATCTATCTAACAACCTGTTTCCTTATTTAGTGATGATCATGTAATTTGAGTGTACCATTCCGTTGGAGTTCTATACGTTCAGATTGGATTTGGATATTTTGGAATGATGAATTTGAAATTGACCAAATTATGCTTGTTTGGTAGCTTGAGAAATATGTTTCATTTGCTCGTTATTTGGGTCTCATGTGCTAATTGATCTGTTGAAATAATTCCAGTTATCAAGGAGTTTTTGTTCGCAATATCTATTGGGATAGTACTGAAGCTGGATATTTAATTGTTGGTATGGTGTGCTTGGTAGGAATTGGGATTTGTCTGAAAAATGTAGCTTGCTGGAGATCAAAGCCTACTTTTACCACTATACATATAACTTTGCTGCTATTCTTGTTTTTGTTTTTATTACGTGTTGTTGATTCCTTTTTTGGTGCATGTTGCTTTTTGATTGTCATTGTTGATGCTTTCAAAAGAAGTTTCTTATACAAAGTAAAAATCCAAATCAGTGATATCATGCACCTCATCATCACACGAAAACTGAATAATTTCTTGATTTTCCCCCTAACTTGGAAACAGTTTCTTGTGGCATATTTAGTTCAAAAAATTGACCATGTTGAATCAGAAATGTGGCATTTGATTGAGCTTCGTCATGGTGGCTCATGGTAGCTTCAGTGTTATATTCATTAGTCCTTCACTAAATAGAACTTAGATTGGTTAAAAAGAGATTAGCAAATTTCAAAACCCAGTAAAGTTTTGTAAGTTTTACATAGATGAAGATTTAAATAATGGTATTTGTTTCACATTCATAAGACAATTAGAGTAGGAAGCCCTATTAACTAAATCATTTGCCTTTTGTTATTGCTATCCAAATATTTCTTGAAATTTTCCATGTTTTTCATGGATTACCACCATTAATTGAATCAATATTAGAAATTATTTCCGTACTAAAGTCTCTGCCAATATATCCATGTGTCACATTCGAACATTGTCATACATACGGTCCTAATACCTTGCTTATCATTACAAGTGAGTAAAATATAGGGAGTTTTAACGAAACACTCCCGGTACTGTTCACTTTTAACGAAAAACCACATTTTTACCTTTCCTTGGTACTATTCACTACACCTTCATTTGTCATTTTTTATTAAAACTAAAGTTTTTTTGGACTTTTTGTTAGTTTTCCTTAAAATATATGCTGAAAACTGATTTAAGCAATGTCAGTTTTTCCAGACAAAGGGAGAAAAATGAAAAACGACATCTAAGTTGCTGTCCATATGATGATGGTTGTTTACAATTTACAAAACCTTTGTCTTGTGCTGTGGAATTTTGTTCTTATGTACTTTGTTTTTTCTGATTCCTGTTCATTGCAAGTGTCTCTAATTACATGTCCTTTGTATTTTCTCTTGCAGATATGCAACAGAATCAAACATAATCCGGTATGCAAAGATAGCCATGCTGCTGCAGAATAAGACTGTCCGAGATGTGGCTTTACGTTGCAGATGGATGACTGTAAGCTTTATTACCTTTATTTCTGTCCTTTTCTCTTGAAGACTTCTAATGTTTGTGGGTTTGGGCTTTAAGGTTTACTCTTGTTGATATAACTATTAACTACTATATTTTGTTTTGAAATTTGAAAAAATGTGAATAGCGTAGTGAAATTACTTGTTAACATTATATTTGCAATTTTCGTAAATAAGACCTACAATATCTTACTGTCTTGGTCATGATCTTTGTGACATAAGGGCCTTTCTTGGGCCTTTGTGTATGGAGTTGCTGCTCTCAAGTTGTATGGTAGACTGCTGGTTGTTGAAGCTTATGCTCTTACCATTTCGAAAAGAATTTAAAGAACTTTTCCTATTATATCTACTGTGACTTGTGAGACGCATTTATACCTGTAGGTTTTGGATATAAGCTAGCAAAAAATAATGCAAATACATTAGCATTTTACTGAAACTATCTGTTTGAAGTATTCTTTAATATCTTTAAATCTGTGCTATTATTTTTTTTGGTCGAACTTTGAAACTGTATTTGATTGTTTTAGTGGTTCACTTACTTTCCAGAAAAAAGAAAACAGCAAGAGAAGGAAGGAAGACCATAACTTATCAAGGAAAAACAAGGATAAAAAGGTATGATCTGTAGTCTCTTCCTATCCATCCTATAACACTTGGACTGAGGCTCATGGGGTTAAAATACGGGTTGATTATGCTTTTGTTTTTTGGCTTTTGTCTATACTACTTTTCTGTTTGTGTAAAGTTGTGTGAAATATTCTAAGTAGCCCTGCCCCTGTGATGAAGTGCATCTGCGTTTGTTGTTTGTTAATATCAGTTCCCTAGCAGTTAGTTTCTTCACTTGTAAATTTGTGCAAATCAATTACTAAGCCTTGTGGTGCGTTTGGATCAGGGACTTGAAGATTCCATTGAACTTTGAACTTAGGCTAAATTTGTTAGGAACGCACTACAGCAATTAGATAGATGGACTTCAAAATGACTTGATGCACTACGTATGGGAGAACTCTCAAATGGCATTACACCTTGAAAGGTGTCATCTGAAAGTCCTTTGTGTAATGTCATTGTAGTGCATTTGTAGTAGCTTTGTAGTGATTCCTTAACAGTTGATTCTGAAGGTCGTTGGTACTTTAAAGTACCTCATCCCTCATCTAAACATAGGATTAAGGAGTTTTGGAATTCATCTCTCTCTCTCTCTCTCTCTCTCTCTATATATATATATATATATGGTACTTTTTAAGTAAATGCGGAAATTGTAGTTGCAGAGTTTCAAGTTCAGGATATGGTGTTCTGATACTATGTTAAGTTGTGGATTGTGAGAATACGAGAGAAGATAGGGAGATTATTAGAGATAGGATTGCAGTTAATGGGCAGCTTAGCTCTGGAGCTGTATTTGTACATCTTCGGTAGTGCTTCTACATGAAGCATTTTATTCAGTAGCTCACTTTTGTTAATAGTACTTAGAACTGGTAGTTCTTTATGAAATAGAATCTGTTTGTTAGGTATTGTTTGTGAGCACTCAGGTCTTGTCACGGCTTCTGTCTGTTTCAAGCAAAAACTATAATATCGTTTTGGCTTGCTAAAAGCATTTCCAAACATTCAAATTCAATCAGCACAAAAAATAAGAAGACATCCAAATACCATAAATGAGGTATCACAATAATATCCGTAATGGAGCATAAAAATAAGGACAATATTGTAACAATGTTAACAAATCCCAAAGAACAATATTGTAACAACGCTAACAAAGCCTAAAGGACAATATTGCAACAAAACTACCAAAGCCCAAATTTCGCCAATCGATACTCGAGTCTGATAACCAAGAGATTCATTTTGTTTTTGTTTTCTTTACTTGCATATATAAGCAAGTGGAAGAATGGTAAAATGACACTCTTTTATTAGCAAAATCTACCTATGAAATCAAGTTAAAATTGAGATGGTACAGATACACAATAATTTATTCCTATTAAGGAAGAAAGCAAATGCAACACATTTTGCAACGTCCTAGCAATATCTTGAAAAAATTCTAAAAACTTGTATAGCCAGATAAAAAGGATTTCAAAACATTTTTCTATCTCATTCAAAAACTGATAAAGAGGATTTCGAAACTTTTTTGTGGCAGTTGTGCTATTAGGTTTTGAACAGCCTCACAACTCATCTCATACAATTACTTGGTGTTCTGTAAAATTAACAATAGGAACATAGTGTTTTCTCCAGCCCAAGTACTGTATTCCTTTGTGCTCTCACTCCAATAGGAAAAAAGTGAGGAGCTGTGTAACGTTTTTCTTCTTCATCTTGTTTTGGCCATGGATTATCCCCAATTCGTTCTTTGTTAAACATGACATTGCATATACCAGTTTGCATCATTCTGTCTCTAGTTAAAGTTTGCATACCTGTTTTTCCTGTCCCAAAGTTCTCATGGAACATCTTTGCATTTGATTTTCAGGAGAGAGTAATTGATACTTCAGCGAAGCCATCTCACTTTGCTGGGCGGCCTAATGTTGCTCCCTATGCTCCCCCAATGATTACTATGGACAATGATGATGGTATCCCATATAAAGGTCTGGTTAAATACTCTGTATTTATTCTGCAGAGGCTCAAATACTTTTTTAACCCAAGTTCAGTGTGTATATATGTTGTACATAAAGTAAAATTCAGTTCTTATCTTATATACAGCATAAGCGACCTATATAGACACACACCCATGCCCACTTGTATTGCTTTTGGCATTGTTTGCTAAATCCATATCCCACGCACGAAAATTATTGCTGAATATATTGTGGTTATAATAAAAAAGAATTCAACCAAACCCAAATATATATGCCTCAAAAATGGTGCTTGGTCTGATTTCCTTATGAACCTGTACTTATTAGTTTGAGTAGCTCATTTTAAATCAATTAAGTTTCGCTGGGCTTGGTGGAGTGGGGGTGGGGTTTGCACCTATGGACTTTGGTAGCCATTTAGACTAGATATAGAATTGGAGCCATGGTTCTTACATTTTAAAACTTGTGGGAAGGCATAGCACAATATATGAAACATCTAGTGACGTATTCTGCATGCCCTTTTTATGTCTGTAATGAGGAGATTGGTGTCTTTTTGAGATATGGACCATGGTATGTGCAAGTATAACCTGAACAGTTCTGTCATAATATTATTAGTAATAATAGTCAAGTGAAAATTTTTATTCATGTTAAAATAAGTACATACATTAATTCTACTTATTGGCAGTTGAGTGGTGTTGATGTTATGTATATGGACTGCAATTTTTTCGCCTTGCAATTGAAAAGTTTTGGGTTTCTAGTTTGTTGAGCTTCCTCTTTGAAACGTATTGTTGCAATAGCTTGTTAATATTTGCTTCTTCTGTTTTCAGCCATTGGCGGTATTACAGGAGAGCTTCTGGAGCAAAATGCCCAAGCCTTGAATCAAATTTCAGCAAACCTTTCAGCTTTCCAGGTAGAGAGCTGTCATGGAATTATTTATTACCTGTCATGTTAGCTATTATTTTATCTGAACACCCGATGGTAACAGAAATCTCAAAGCCAAAGGGTTTCTAATAGCACTTGCTATTTATGCATTGCATGGTGACGAAAACAGACATCTATTTGTTGATGCTATCTTGATAATTAACTGAATTGTATGTTTTTATTGCATTTGTTTTTCCTTGGCCTCAAATTTATTTATTTATTTTTACGGAAACAAGACAATTGTAGAGATGTCCTGTAAAACAAAAAATAAAAACCAAAATAGTCAACTAAAATTCCTGTGATCAACAGAACATTAAGAAACAGCAGGACTCCAATCTGATGATATAGCAGAAATGTGCTTTCCCTATATTCTGACGACATTAATGACCAAAGAGATGCCAAAACTCTAGAAATTTCATCAGTTTTCTCCTTAACGTTGTAGTAGATGGCTCAGTGATCTGGTTGATGAATCGGAGGATCATTTCATGTTTGTCTTTATCTCCTTCGGGCCCGCTCGGGCTCCATCGCCAGCACATGCTGGACCAAGTTGCTCGGGCTTCTGGCACTGTTTGAGAGCCAGTCCACCGGGCTATTGCCCACGGTGGAACTGCTTTGTTTGACCTCATAGTTCATTACTTGCTTTAAAAATCATTTGACCTTTCTTTTTTTGTTTGGCATTTATAAACAATATATGCATACTTTTAATTTATGACTTGTCCAAAAAGATGATAATCTTGGTAATAATGTCTGTCCTTCATAGATACATTGTTGGTGCTTTTGTAACTGGAGTGGGCCTTTTTTTTCCTGTCTTTTTTCAGATACAGGAGAACATCAACCTCTTCTGCCGAAGTCGAGATAACAACATCAACCTCTTCTGCCAAACTCGAGACAACATCCTCAAAATTATGAATGAGTATGATGTAATCTTTGCCTTTGTTTTTCTCTTGTTCATTATAAACTTTAAAGGGAAGCTCGAGGCATTTTCTTCAAAAAAGCAATACGCATGTGTTATCTTTCTTTTGTTAAATGCTAACAGTTGCTCTTAAATGCCATATTTTCTATTTGTTTATTTTTATGTTGTAAGAACAGGGATTGACAAATTGATATACTTATGTTTTCTTCAACTCTGGTCCTTTCTACTAGATATGAAAACCACCTTTTTGTAACTTCTTCTCTGTAGACCTTTGGCTTTAAATTGACAGCTCATTAACAAAAGAGAACAAGGCGTACTGGGAGATTGTCATGCGAGGAACACACGACTTCATGTGTCATGGCAGGATGCGTACTTGTCTCCATGGATCTACATCATTTTGGTCTTTGACAGTCTGCATGTCCAAAACTCACCTTAATTGTAGGGTTCTTTGAGTACACGAGTTCTTTAGTGCATAATCTGACATCATTGTGTTTAGCTCCACAGTTATCTTTTGTGAAAAAATGATTGTTCTGTCTGATTACCGTTGCCAATGCAGTTTACGATTGTTTCCGGTATACAATGTGAAATTCTTGAAATTTCAGTTCCTAAAAACCTATAGCATTGCATTGGTGTCATGCTAGTTTTCCCAGCCACTGGTTACGACTTTATATGTACTGCAGAAGTGAATAAAATGCCTCAAGTGATATAAATTTCTGTTAAAATGATAAACATCGATGCGTGTTGAACTGTCACATTTGTGTATGTATATTCATCAATTTATATTTCAAATCTGTCTACAGCTTGAATGACATGCCAGACGTAATGAAGCAGATGCCACCACTTCCAGTGAAAATGAATGAAGAGCTAGCAACCCATGTCGGCATCCCACCCCATCAGATGCAATCATGATCAGTTATTCGGCTTCCATCCGTGTTTTTTGTTTCCAAATGGGCTTCTTCTGACTAGTACCGAAAACACATCAAGATGCCAAATTTGGCCGGAGTTTCTTCAAATCAAGTCCCGGCCTCCAGGTAACAAACGGAGTTGACCCACCTTTGCCATCAAAAAACCTGCAGGGGATCTAATTGTTTATGCAGATGTCAGTTCTTTTCTTCTTTTCCTATTTCCCTTTTATGTTTTAGTATTTCAGATCTGATTTCATAATTTTGTTTCCATAGCTAGCCATGACTAAGCTTCCCTGTAGAAACTAGGAAATAAAATTCTTTCTGCTATATTTCGTATGTATTGGGGAATGAAAAGTAATAATAAGTACTTGATTTCTTGTATTTTTTTTTCCGTGTATCGTGTGTGTCGATAGTGCCATGCTGTTATCTTTCGGCGAAACTTAAGGATTAAGCAAAACATATGGTTAAGCACTCGGGGTTATACGCACGATTGGTGAGTGAAGGTGCAGTAATAGTTCGTTTCATCGAGTATTGGTGACGTGACGATAAAGAGATTGAAGAATGAAGAGAAACCATGAGTATAAGCGCACAGTTTACATTTACTTTGTCGAATGTAGTTGTCATAAACAGTTTCTAACTGTGAGTGATTATTAGTTTCAATTTTAGTATTGGTTTCCATTTCCTGGTTTCGTTTTTTCCATCACTCATACGCCTTTTGTACATTTAGATTCAAACACTGCAATTCAGTGTCCGTTATCTTTTTTACTTTTGGATTCAGATGCTGCGTTGTAGTATCCGTTTCCTAGCCTTGTTTTTTCCATCATTAGCACGCCTCCTACGCTTCACATCTCTCTCGACTCCTGCTTTTTACATATAATTGTAACACGTGATCCAATACTGAGCTAGCTAGACATCTTTTCCGGTTTTTATGTATTGTGGCAGATATATAGAGACCGACTTTAATGGAATAAGCATATTGATGCTAGTGTATCATTGATAATAATTACTAGCTGTGAAACAACGTTTAAAACCCTAATTGTTGACTAAGAACGGTTATGTTTTTATTTTTTTTTATATATATAGAAAAAATTGGTCACAAAGAAACAAATTTGCCTGAAGGTTTAGGGGGTGTTTGTTTGACCTCCTTAAGTTTCACTGGATTGGCTAGGATTAATAGTGAGTGAAATACCATGTTTGTTAGCAGCCGGGATTATCTTTAATGAGACTAAAGGGGACTCGCCTAGACTAAATACCTCACTAGGCGGTCTTAGCGAGACCCCCCGAAATTGGGCGGATTGCTAAGACCAGCTCTCCTTCGCCCCTTTCCGCTTCACTCTTCATCAGTTCTCTACCTTTCCCCTCCCGACTGCTATTTTTTTCCCATAAGACTCCTCTTCCAGCGAAGCCACCATGGATCTGTGGTCAGAAACTCTTCTTTGAGAAACCCATTTCATGGAGTTTTTGTAAATTCATTTCGTGGATCTGCAGCCCTTCCCTTTTCAATACCAAATCCAACTCCCAAAATTTCAACCCAGAAAACCAAAAAATCCAAAAAGCCAAAAACCCAGAAAACTGAGAAACCGAAAGCAGATTCAACCCCATCTCCCACCTTCGAGCCACTCACGCATGCATCCCGCCTCCAACTCCCAAATTTTCATTTTTGTTCTTGCTCTTTGGTTTGATTTTAAGATTTGCAAGGGATTTTGTGAGAGGAATAGAAGAGGCAGACAGAGATTTGCAGTGAAGAGGAAGAGAGAGATTTGTAAAATCTTCAAATAAAAGAGGCAGAGAAAGATTTGAAGTGCCACAGATAAAATGGCAGAGAAATGGGAGAGGGGAGGGATGCATTGGGCGGACAAAAAAAATGAGAGAGGAATATGAATCAGAGTTTGATCAAAATAAAAAGAAGGAAGATAGTTCTAGAAAGGAAAATGATAATTTAATAATAAAATATTAGTATATATAGATTAAATTAATAATAAAATATTGTAAATATAAATTTAATAATATAATATATGAGTCCTGTTTTTAGTCCGATACAACATCAAACGCTTTACTAAATTAGTCCACCTTAGTCTATTCTAAGCCAATCCAGCTTAGTCCCTAAAGCTAGTCCAGTTCGAAATAGTCCAGTGCAACAAACGCACCCTTAGTCTCCAAACGTGGGTTGGCACTTCAGGCCCTCAAAACTCGGGCAATCAGGAAAACCAGTTCCGGCATTGATGATTTGATTTGAATGATTAATTTGAAAAGTTAATCTTCACTGGTAAATGAGAGATCTTATATTCGATTCTCGTTAAAGGTGAATTTGAACCATATTATTGCTAGCCTATTGTGAGGCTTAGCCTACTTCCCCATCCCTTAGTGTAGATAATATCGTTTGTTGGAAAAAAATAAAAAAAACAAAAAACAAATTGAAGAGTTAGAAGACAAACACACTCTACAGGATTGGAAACAAGGCAGGTTTTGAGAATGTGTTCATTTGGGTGCTTAATTTTTAATTTTAGGGTTTTAATTTTCCTCTTTTGAGATAAGAAACATACATTCATAGGAAGAGAGAGAGAGAAGGATAGAATAGTAAAGCTCTAAACTACTTGTAATGACTTACAGCTCAAGTGGTATTTATTATTGACCTATGTCTAATAAAAAAAATATATCATTGATTAAGTCCAAAACAAAAATATGTCATTAATATATGACTAAGTAGTAAAGTTTTTATTGATTTTTTACTAAATTACCTGAAATAGTTTATTATGAGGAAGAAACATTAGTGAGTTCAAACTCACACCAAAATGCATAAACATGATTTCTAGGTGTAAGATTTTATCACAGTAACGGCCCTAATAATATCAGTTTTGAAGCGTACCACTGTTGGAAATGTGCCCTAAAACCAATCATATGATGATACTTTACGAACATTTCACAAAGTTAAACTAATGTAGTTTAAATGTAAAGGGCAAAGATTATTGTTTGAGCCGTCTCATATAAATGTTATATGCTTAAACGATAAGTCCAAGGAATATGTGATTGGAAGAATGCGATCTAAAGAAGTTAGATTCATGAGACCATTCTTTCGTTGACACATCCTAAACGTTCCTGATCATAGGATTGTCAATTGGGCATTGACAGTCTGTTAAGATCAGTACGTGCTATGTCTTCTCTCAGGGAGAGTGACTAGTCTCGAGTCATTGGTGTGTGTGACATCAAGACAAGTACGTAGGTGCTCAATAGAGAATGAGTTCACTGAACACGATCAACGAAGAGTTCTCATATTCATGTCACATGAGAACTCATGGTTGGGATAATGCAAATTAGTCTTTTGACCTGAGGCATCACAATTGTCTTGTGGTTAGGTCCTTAATCTTTGATTATGTCAAAGTCACTCCATCAGGAGGGTGTCCACGGCATCGTTGGGGTTAAGCCACTTAGCCATGGAGGCAAGTGAATGCGCAACAAGGGATCTCTAACCTTCAAACTGTTTGAGGGAGAATACTCTATGATATGATTAAGAATCTTTGGCCAAAGTATGAATGAGATTTAGGAATGTGTTCCAAATCACATTCAAGGTAATCATATAAGCACAAGACTCACATTGGATAGTAGACATGAATAAACTATCAAACCAAACAATGTGGTCAAGAGTATTGTATTAGAGAAAGACCGTATTGCATTTGTAATCCTAAAACTGAATAGGTTCTCCACCTCTTCTGATTAGCTTGGGTAACTATGACATGCTGCTAGGCGTCAACCATGGTTTGTGGAAGCCCTAAAAGTGTATTATCACTAACGGGAGAATTGAAAGTAAGTTTCAATTCACAATCGATTAGAAAGAGTTTTAATCGCCCACTGCCTCGCTAAAAGGAACCTAATGGATCGTTCACCGAGTAAGGTAGAGTTTGAAGAAACAACGGAGATGAGTAAGAATAATTAAATGGTTTAATTATTTATCTAAGGCTAGGATTAATTAATATGTTAATTAATCAAACAAATAAGTTCGTTAAAGACCTCGGGTTAGTTTTGGGCCGCAAGGCCCAATGGGATTTGAATGTCAAGCCCATTAACTCAAGTTGTATGACAACTTGAATAAACAAAGGGCTTGAAAGCCCAATAAACCCTATAGGCCGGCCATGTTAGAAGAATAGGGCTTTTGGTCCATTAGGTCACTTATTTGAAGGGACTATATAAAAGACTTTATAGCCTAAAATTCATTAAGGGTTGTTTTTGGAGAAAGGATGAGAACACAAGCTCTCCTTTCTCTCTAAAATTTCGGCCACCTTGGAGGGATCATCTAGCAATCAAACTCCTCCAATGTCACTCATTTCTTCTTCATTATGCCTTGGTGATGAATCATTAGAGGTTCTCAATTTTGGGAACTTCGGAGAAACCTTTTTTCATCCATCCAAATCCATAGATCTAAGATGCAAGGAATGAAGGCCCTCTCTTTGGGTGATTAGCCTTTGTTTAAATACAAAGAGGAATCTACAAAGGTATATATTTCAACTCACTTTGTTTTGAGTTGATTATTGGTTCACCATTTTACTCGGCTTTGAACATTCATGGGTAATGTTTTGTTTTTAAGTGCATGCTAGCATGATTCCGCCTTTAATTTGTTAATTGCATGCTAATGATGTTGCTTAAATGAACATGTCATCTTCCAAAATAATCCTTCAACCACATATAACTATACTATATTATTTTATTACATCATATATGTGAAACTACTCTCCAACAACTTTTGTCTAATTTGTATACACCAGCAAACTTTGTATCTATTCTTCGATACTTGTCAAATTTATTTAATTTTCTTGTTGGAATATGGATGGAAGGGCTCACTTTAAAAAAATTTCAAACCTCAAAATCCTTGGGTCCTACTACATTTTTTTTTTTCCAATGAGAATGCATATCTCCCTCCCAAATTATGTCCTATACCATTGTCCATACTCCTTAGAAGCTTAGATGTTAGAAATCTATACATTAAAAATACAAGACATATCACCAACTAGCACTTAGTCAAATAGTACTTCTTTTCCAATATAAATTGATCAAAAATTAAATTAAATTGTGATACAAATTGACGGCGGATGAATCAACAGGTCATCGACACGTAAGTAAAAATATGAGACGTGGTCTAAGAATGTTCAGTATAGAGTGATGATATCCACACACCTCATTTTACTTTCAACACACTTCATATTTATGTTTTGACCCTCTTCAATTTATTCGATCTGACGATCGATAATTAAAAGGAATGTGTGGAATGTAAAAAGAGAGGTGTGAATAGCACCACCTCTCAATATATTATGTTGTTGGTGTTGTTACAGTATGAAAAGTAATCTGTTTGTGCTGTGCTAATTAAAATATTTGTTTGTGTGAAACTTATT